CCATTGTCTGTGGGCCTTATGGTAGACCTTAGCGCCATTGTCTGTGGGCCTTATGGTAGACCTTAGCGCCATTGTCTGTGGGCCTTATGGTAGACAAGCATGAAGAAAAGCTGCCCATCTTAAGGTAACAAGACACAACAAAAGAGAGAGCAAAATAAGGAAGAAGATAGGAATAAGGGAAAGATATGATAAGATACAAAGAATAAGATACAATCCTGAAAAGTATGTCTTTGTGGACCTACTTCTTTCCACCAGGCTCTACCTCCTAAAATTTCCATCTTCTTCCAAAGTCCAGTTAAATTATGAATCTATTAACAGAGCCCCAATAATCTATTCACTGCTCAAGAGGTCTGCCTCTCAACATTGCTGCATCAGGGCCAATCCTCCAACACAAGAGCTTCTGGGGACATTTCGATCAAAGTTATCACACTGCATATTTTTCAAATGCTTGATACATGTCACCAACCAGTATCGTCCTTTCTCCTGGCATGCCGTCCTAACTCACCACCTCTGACCATGGGACTCTACATTGTTCCACAGGAAGCCTCTCTCATTGCTTTCTCAGTTAACTCTGAGTAACAATAATCACTGTTTCCTGGTAAGGATACCCTAAGACAGGAATGAGTATTCAGGTCATTTACATAGGTTGGAAACTGGCATACTTGAGTGCTCTTGGGACCAACATTTGTGTATAGAAGGAAGATGGGAAGGATGCAGATTTGGAAAGGAGACTACAGAGGTGTAATATAGGAATAACAATGTCAACCTGACAAGGAGTTTTGAAGCTGACCTGCACAGGAGAAAAGAACTAGGTCTTGAGCAATCATTATATCTAAATTGCACCAGAGATATAAGCCTAATCTGGGATGAGGCAGTTCTAGGCAGCTAAGGTAACTGTTGGAGAGCATGACCAATGCTCACAATGGTCATGTTTCAGAGAAGCTTCACTGGATAAACTACCTGAAATATTTCCGCTCCCTGCTCTATTCTTTAATTCCATATAACCATCCTTGTTATTTTCCTAGTGACATTTACTATGTACTGTAACTATGTTTTCTAATTGTTAATATCCTTTTGTGCACTCTAGAAAATAAGTCTTCTCTTTAAAAAAACAAAGACAAGGGCCTGGGAGATAGCTCAGTAGAATAAGTGCTTGCTTGGTAAGTGCAGGGTCCTGAGGTCAATCCCTGGTACTGAAAAAAAAGACAAGAAAAAGAAAATTAAGATTTCTTGAATGTAAATGGTAATACTCAATTATTTGTCAAATCTTGCATAACTATGTCTGTTAATCAGAGCAACAGATTTGATGATGAAAATAGAACAGCCATTCTTAGTTATTCTTGTTTTGAAAATCTGTAACATATGTATTGCTATATGTTACCCTGATTCTGTCTTTGTTTCTGCTATTTGTTTTTACTCTTCAAAATAAAATAAAAGAAGCTCCCGGAGAGTGAGGGTCTTGTCTTGCCTCCGTTCCTGCCCACTTCAGTGTAAGGAGTACGTGCGGAGCACAGCGGTCCTTGGTTCTGAGCGCCGTCGCGATCTGGGTGCTCAAGCTTGCGTGCAGCATGTGCAGCGCAGTGCTCTGCACCTTAGAGGACTTTCAGGGAGAGTCAGGTAGACGCACAGAGAGTTACAGGACCCAAGGATGAGGCTGTGGAAATGGTGGTAGCCCATGTGCTCCTTGAAGAAACACCATCCAGACTCAATTTATAGTACAATTTATTATTAATATCACCAAACAGGTGACATTAATGAATTTCCAGAGAACATTAGAGGAAAAAAGGTTTTGATTTGGCTTGATGTAAAACCAAGCAGAGGCATCATACAGCATAATGAAGTCAGAAAGGCGCACAAGAGGGAGGCCTCCCCCCACAGCCGAGTTGGCCCCATTCTCAAGGAAAGCCTCTGGTACCTTCACGCTGTGGAGTCAGAACTCAGATCAAGCTGAAGTAGACCTTTCAGAGGCAAGAAAATCTCATCAAATATATGAGCTGTCCCAATACTACATCCATGCAGATGAGCCAGATAAATCACGAGACCCAAGTGTCCCCTCAACAAACACCCAGACAGCGGAGACTATAAATTGATAAATTCATTTGTGAACAAAATTTAATATTCACATATTCAAACCAGCAAGCTCTATTAGATGCTACATTTTAAAATGAAAGCCTATACAGAATATACCATTAGAGTTCACAGAGAATCTGACTCTGTTCTAGGGGAAGGAGAATAGGATTTAAAAAATTTTTGAACTATATAAATTTCACTCTGAGTTTTCCCAAAGTAACTGAGAATAGCTATGATATTTCCTTAGCGTTTCTAGTAATGAGCACATACAATGAGTGTAAACTGAACGTCAGTCCCATTAAGAACGAAGAGCCTAAAAAAAAAAAAAAAAAAAAAGAACAAAGAGCCTATGAAGCACTACCTTATACAAATGTTTGATCTGTATACCAGCCATCAAATTGGTAGGTTCGTTCTCAAAATATTGGCTCTGAATTGTCTCCTCATATTGGATCGTCTCATTTTTGGCTGTATGTTGTTCCCCAAACCAGTAAGCACGCTGAGAAAGGAATAAAAATATTATCATAGTAATGGGAATGAAAAGGAAACATCAGAAAATACTTTGGACTGGTAGTGTTTATATTGAGACAAATCACAGAAAATTTCTAAGGATTGAATCTTGGAGCTAACTGGCTATAACTTTAATCTCCAGGGCATTAAACAGACTGAAGTAAAGCCATAACTATTCAAGAAAAATGAAAACACTTCAAAATGAGGTTGCAATAAGAGTCATTTTATCACTCTTAGTTTTGCTTCTCTGAGAGTAATATATTTTGCTTCTCTGAGAGTACTATAAGAGGAAAACACGCTTATACTCTCCACTTTTCTGTGATTCTGACTCTAAGGAGCAGAGGCAGCCGAGGAAGTAAAGCAGGCAGTGAGTGTCCAGATGCCCTGAACCTCTCCTTGTCAGGAGGAGCCATCAATTATTAGTCTGTGTGCCAGAATATAATCATTTATGAAACACCTTCCTGCAAAAGTGATGAATTACTCACAATTTGTTTAATCTGGGGTTGAAGTTATGACCTATAGATACAATGGGCACAGTCTGATTAAAATATATGGCAGATATTTAAAATTTAGAAGATTACAATGAAAACACATTCTCCTTGAAAATACACTCCCCCTTTCTTTGAACTCATATATTCCATCATCCCCACCACTTTCTGAAGCAGTGCTGTAACCTTTTTTGTGAGTATCTTTATGAGGCATGATAAAAAAAATAAAGTGATCATAAAGACATTACAGTGCATCTTAATTGTCCTTATTCGCTGGATCTGGAATTGTGCAATTTTTGGCTCTTCCTCAAAGTCAAAATGACCAGAAAAGGTCAATGTTTTGAACTGATTCAGGACACTGAGGCAGCCACACAGTGCAACTAGCAATACTTTTATGAAAGAGTGCTTCCAGACCTGCTTTAGAAAGTGGCAAGGACAAGGTGTAAGTGCTTTGGAAGTGAGGGGGAATACTCCGAAGGGGATTAATATGTATAATATATGTATACTGTAT